TTCACTTTGATGTTATTTTCAACCATACTATTTTTGGGTAAAGTTACCAAAAAAAAAGTATACGTTTAGTTTGTTCTCAAATTTAGTCAATACATAAGAAATCCTGTCAAAATTTTGGTAGTATTGCCATCTTGCTAAAATTTTAGCATTGTCAAAAGTTGGTGAGATTTATTTTGGCTACAATTTAAACATGCCCCAAATATACAAACAATACTATTACAGCTATTAAAATTTTGGCAGGTTATAAATTGGTTTCAATAAAAAAACCTTAAGTGTAATTAGGTGGCACAATTTAGCGAAAGCAATCGTCGTATATATAACATAGTAACAAGTATACGTAGCACAGATCATCACAGCATAGGGCGCAGCTACGAGAACGGGACGCGCGTACAGGCGGTTTGGCTATAATTAAACTACCTGGCTCCCCCAAGCCGGCTCGAGCAGATCGTGAGAATGTCTTTATATTTTCTTCGCTGAAAGGGATGCATGGCTGTGACGAAGGTCCAAGATGGCAAAAGATGTCGCCGTCGCCGCAACGAAAGCGCCAGGAAAGGAACGATTCACCTCGGTTGCTTAAAGAGGGGGGTCAAAAATAAGAAATTGCTTCGGGAGGGTGTAGTTAACTATTCTATCCCAAGCTCCCAAAAGGAGATTGTTTATGCCATGCCATATGCAAGCATGATTCATGCTATACCAATGAAAATTATACTATCCCAATAGCAAATTGTTATGCTATGATACCATGATTATTCTTGCTATATACTTCCTCCGTACTTATAAAGGAATTCGTTTAGAACAATGTTTAAGTCAAACCTTGGGAATATAAATCATGAATAACTCTCAAGTTATTGAGTTTGAAAATGTAAAAATTATATGAATAGATTTGTCTTAAAAAATAATTTCATAAAAGTATACATATATCATTTTTTAATAAATATTTTTTATAGAAACAAGAAGTTAAAGTTGTGTTTTGGAGACCGTGTCGCTGTCCTAAACGATTTTCTTTATACGGAGAGAGTATACCAATAAAGACCAACCAGCGGTTTGGCTGGAATTTTTGTAAATATTACAAACTTAAAGATATTTGATCTTTTTTTAGAGAAGCGTATGTATAGAATAAGAAACTAGCATCGTTTGTTATATATAAAGAAAACAATGTAATATCTTGCATATTAGTCTACCTGTCAAACACAGTCGTCAGGCAAGCTGAATTAAGAACAAGTGCGACACAGTACAGCCTTCGGGAAGACGGACAGATAGTCAGTTAGTCACCCAAATCAGCAGCATATCGCCTTAAAAAAAGTTGTCATCTTCTCGATCGATACAGGAGGTATGAAAAAGATCAAGACTCTCACAGGTGGTCATCAGGTATGGCCAATTATTAAGCTCCACCGAGTTCTGGTTTTAGCTGGCCGCGTCTTAACCAACTCTCACGCGCAGTTTTAACCATGCGATGCACGCGCATCCGGCGCCGAGTAGTAGCATCCTGATCCTGCAGCTAGCAACTTCTTACACTTGGCCAAAAAGATCAGAAAAAGAAACTTTGACATGTACTCTCTCGGTCCAAAAATAAACCAACATCGATCGAGTTTAGTTCCAAATTTTTTCTTTAAACTTTTAACTTTTTCATCACATCAAAACTTTTGTACACACACAAACTTTCAACTTTTCCGTCACATCATTCCAATTTCAACCAAACTTTTAATTTTAGCGTGAACTAAACACACCCATCGTAGTAGAATGTGATACTACATCTTAATATAATAGATCTGGATATAGAGTATGTCTAGATTTGTTGTCCTAGTACAATGTTAACTTATTTTGAGATGGATGATGTACTTTGACACCTGGGAGTCAGTAACATTGACACAAGGAGATCAACGAAAGCAGCATGTAGTAATAAGTATCTCTAGTAACATTGACTGTTGTAGGCTTCTAGCATCCTGATCCAGGTAGCTACTTTAATTTAATTTTGACATGCAAGAGAGTTTAGTAACGCTGACGAAGTAGTACAAATTAAAGAGGTTAGTTAGGTGATCCTAGAAAAGGACTTTGGATTACTGTTTCCTAAGAAGTAGTGGTTTAGGTACGTAGCTTGTGCAATCTCGCAGAGAGTTTAGCTTAGTTCAGCAGTAGCAGCTTCTAAATTGGCACTTGAGGCGTCCAGGGGTCAATTCATCTAACTGGCCTTTCGAAGAAAATGGCAATTTGGTTACTGGAACTTTTTCGCTGTTTCAGTCAACGAAATGGGAAATTTGCAGTGACCTGGTTATCAGTCAGACATCAAGCAGCTAACTATTAGCAGTAGAAATTATTCAGATTTATCACCATTTATATAGCTTACTACCTCGATCCATTCCAAAAAGAGACTATATATGTTCATAGAAAAAAGGCTAAAAGTCTTTTGGAAAAAAAAATTTATGTTCCACCTGCACTCTACCTACCGTTCTTAGCCTTAGAAATCGTTAACTGTATACCTAATCTATATACTTACAAAATGTGCGCTGTGGCATAGGAGGATTTGCAACTAAGCTCTGTGCAGCTGCAGTGTTGTCTGTAGCAAAAATGCCATCACTGTCTCGTAATTTGTCCTGGAGCTACATCGAATTATCGATCCCTCCAGAAAACAGTACACCTATCGAAGCTTTTGTAAGTTACAACCGGGCTGGTTGAAGGCTGCCGACGATGAACCGGGCTAGGTAAATGCTGTGTTTGTTGAGTAAAATATACTGCTAATAAAGCAGGATTAATAAGCAGTAAAGTAAAATATAGAGTCTGTGGTCAGCACGGTTGGTTAGGACTTAGGCAGGATTAAAGCATTTTAAGCTTGCACCACCAAATCAGACGTAGTACGTGGCGTTGAAGGAATGTGAAAATTTTTTGTGGTGGTAATTATATGATGTAAACAACATGAGAATTGTCGCTCTCTTTTTTTTTCTCTATCAAAGATTCAGAGGGTTACTGTGACTGTACTGGTAGCAATACTGAAGTTAAGTGAACTTTTGACAAATAGGATTTGCTCTATTGAATATTAACCCCTTTTGTGCTAGCCTATAAGTAGGTAGGCCCCAGGCCTCCAGCCTCCTCCAAGGTCCAGTCAAAGCCCAGCAAATTGTTAGGCCTTCGATGTGTTTGGATCTTATTGGCCCTTTTAAGTCCAATTGGCAGGAAGGTCCCATTTTGTGGACTCTGAAAGCAATAAGGCCTTCAGCCTCAATGACTACTGAAGACGCATTGAATTTTTTATTAAACAATATTTACAAAAATAATTTTGTGTTTACAAAATTACAGATCTGTACCCTTCCCGCCCTTTGGGAGGGCATTTTTTCTAAAAAAAAATCGCCCTCTAGAAGAGCGGCAAGTGGCTTAAATGTAAAATTTACCGCATATGTTGTTAACTTGTATTTCTATAATTTGAAAATAGGTCATATGAAATCGGATGAAATTAAAATTTATATCAAAATTGCATAGTTGAGGATATCTACAGCTTTGTGGTTCACAACTTTTTCATTTAAGATCGTTTAGAGTCCAAATATTCGTTATAAAATCTAAAGTTTGTTTTAGAAAATCTCAAATATATACTTCAAATGACCTTTGATGAAGACAAGTTTTATATAAAAGCTGTAGATCTAAATGAGATCTAAAACTTTGTTGTTTATAATTTTTGTCATTTAAAATTATTTAGTGTATAAAATGAGTATTAATATTTATATTGATTAAAAGCAACGATAATTGTATAAAAGCAAACAAAAAATTTACATTTAAGATCCTTCTCGCGGTAAGCCTTTTGTTTTAAAAGGAACTAATCTTCTCTAGTAGGTTAGTCCACAAAACAACAGAATCCAAACACAAATCATCTAAATGAGGCTATATTTGGAGAGCTGATAATCAACCGGTCGGTAACCAGATTATTAGAATATAGAGAAATTGGTTTTCCGGTTTCTAGCTTCTAGTTTGTTTTATAGATTCTTTAGCTTTTGATTCTTTGGAATATGGATGATATTATGCATTGTTTAAGAGCTGAAGATTTTGTAATAAGTTACAACTGCTAACCTCCTCCAGGTAGGCCTGAGTTAGATATAAGGCTACATCATTTACATGGCAAGTTAAGAAGGACCTCATCTTTTCGTTTATGCTTATACTTATCAGTCAAAATTTAAATTTCCATCCTTAAATTTGAAGGTGATTTTGAGGTTTTTTCCATCGAAGTTTATTTTTCAGCCTTTGCCTTTAGATCGTTAAAAACACATTTATAAAAATTTTATTCACAAATTATTTTTCATTTATAAATATGTCGTTTCGCTTATTCTACAAAGATGTTCAACAGTGCAAAAGGTTTCTATTCCTTCAACTTGCAAGTATTCCTGATGGCTAACATTGTCCGTCAGACGAACGATATGCGGCTAAGATCGAGGCATGACACGAGTTTTCGGAAAAAGACCTTACATTTCATTTTATTTATCTCACCCATCGAAAAAGCCCTTCCATGGTATGGAATCCATACCGTCGGACGGACATTGTACGGCGAAGGTAATTTTCCATTTAGGCTCTCGGTTTCACTGTACTCCAAATTAAAAGAAGCACACCTACTACTCCACTTCGATGGCAACCACAGTGTAGCACGAGACCGAGGAGGCGCCAGCTCGACTCCGCGCGAGCCGAGGCCTCGAACCCTAACCCCCATTCGATTTCCGGCGAGATGCCCACCCGCGTCTGAGCCTTGCTCGTCGGCGGCGAGGTGGGGTGGGGCGGGGGGCGGGGGCGGCGAGGGATGGAGGCGAGGCGGGTCTCCGCGAACCCTCGGCCGTCCTGCGTGCGGAGGGTGCTCGCGCGGAAGCGGCGGAGGCCCGAGGCGACGGCGAACAGCGCGCGGAAGCTGCAGCGGCGGGAGATCTCCGCGCTGCCGTGCCGCGCGTTCTCCGCGAGCACCACGCGGGAGCGGTTCCGCAACATCCAGCTCCAGGTCAGCCGGCCCGCTCGGCGCGTCCCCCCTCCCCACACCCTGTCTCCCAGCATTTAGGTCTGGATCGATATGGCGTAGAGGGCAGGAGTGGGTCGGTAGGTTAGGGCTTGGAGAGAGGATAATTGTTTTTTTAAAAAATGATTATTTGAATGAATCAATTGCGGGAAGAGTTGGAGCCCGAGAGCATATAGGTAGTGTGGGTGTTGTGAGGAGGAACTTTCGCCTACGGTCAAAGAATTCACGAGGCGTAAATATTCCCCAATGATGGTGATAGCTTTGGCTGTTTGCGGAGAGTTTCTCCATCGGATATCGGAATCCCTGGATTAGTACAGCTGTTTTAGCATTATGGACGATGATAGGAAGAGGGGAAAGGTGTGTTTGGTGCTATATTTTGAGATGTGGTCGCTCTCTTTGGTATTTACTGTGATAAAAGTATACTCTGGAGCATAACTCGGTTGGAAAAGGTTGAAACTTCAGTGCCCTTCATATCATAGAACAGCCGATCTTCACCAAAATTTTGTTTCTAACTTTTAGTTAGCATGACCTGTTCTTTTTACGATTATAACACATCTTCAAATTCTTTTCACTTACAATTAGGAAGAGTTTGATACTCATGATCCCAAGGAGATGGGTTCACTACTACCTTACTTGATGAAAAGGTCTGAGATTATTGAGATAGTTGGAGCCAGTGATATCATCTTTGCTTTATCACAGTCAGGAGTATGTGCTGCATTCAGCAGAGGTACAACTTTCGATAATGATTGGTCATGTACTGATGTTATAAATTACCATTGAATTCTGAGATGTATTTGTTTTAGTCTCAAACCAGCGGATTTGCTTTCTGAATGGAAGACCAGATGAAGTCATTCGCAGTTTGTTTTACAACAAGAACAATGACTCACTCATTACTGTATCAGTTTATGGTTCTGAAAACTTCAGTGCCTTAAGATGCAGGACAACTCGAATAGAGTAAGCTTGTCTTCCTGTGATTCTGCTACGGTAGTGTTATATTGTTTATATGAATCTTTTTATTATTTTGTCTTTTAAGGTATATACGACGGGGGAAGCCAGATGCTGGTTTCCCTCTTTTCGAGACAGAGTCCTTGAAATGGCCAGGTTTTGTGGAATTTGATGATGTTAACGGGAAGGTGCTGACTTATTCTGCCCAAGACAGGTATTCTAGCTCTAATTTCTTTGAAGGCGAGAAGATTAACCTCATTCGAATTGTGACATTCCTTTCTCATTCCAACCAGTACTTACAAGGTGTTTGACTTGAAAAACTACACTTTGTTGTATACAATATCTGATAAGAATGTTCAAGAAATAAAGATCAGGTAAGGGAATCTTTCTTGCTTGCTGATCATGATTAAGTTTCACATTTGTACAACCTAAATTATGCTTTGCCTTTTTATTCATTGGAAGAGATTTTTTTAAAAAAATTGATTTGAAGTGCTATGCCCCCAAAACTTCGAATATATTTGGTCAATGGTTAGGAGAGCTGCATGTTTTCTATACACCTTGCCTGTGTTTGATGGGAAACTAATGGTGAGCAGTTCATAGGCTTTTCTTCAATGCACTTTGTGAAATGCTTCCCTATAGGTGAACAGAAGTTCTGCTAAAATGCAAAAGCTGAATAGCATACTTTCAAAACAAACCTTTCGGCCTGATTGGCAACTGTTGATTACTAAACCGACAACTTTACTGATTGAACATTTATGTAATTTAGCTTTGTGGAGAGCATAGAAATACTATTGCCAATTGAGCTATCATGGGTTTATTCTTGGTGACCTCCTATATATGGTGAATTGATTGCTTTTTGTCAAGTGAGATGTGGCTGGATTGATTGAAATTTTTGTATGTGTAACTTATGGAGGTCATTTCCATTTTCGAGCTTCCAAATTTATACCTTTTTGCTTATTGCTACCTTCCAACAGCCCTGGCATAATGCTATTGATATACTCAAGAAAAAAGGGCTGTATTCCCCTTGACATTCTTTCTATTGAAGATGGTAAACGCTTGAAGTCATTCAAACACCTTCTTCATCGCAATAAAAAAGTTGATTTCATTGAGCAATTCAATGAAAAACTTCTGATCAAACAGGAAGGGGAGAACCTTCAAATTCTTGATGTAAGTTTTTTTCTTGGTATAGATTATGGATAACAGCAAATGAAACAACACAGTTTCCTCTCTTTATTTGTAGAATTGTAGTTAATTTTTGTGCAATGCTGCAGGTAAGAAACTTCCAATCAATTGAAGTAAGCAGAAGTGAATTTGTGACTCCTTCTGCGTTTATCTTTCTGTATGAGATGCAGCTGTTCCTGACCTTCCGTAGTAGATCAGTATCCGTTTGGAATTTCCGTGGTGAATTAGTCACATCTTTTGAGGACCATATGTTGTGGCACCCTGATTGCAATACCAACAGTATTTACATCACCAGCAACCAAGATCTTATTATTTCTTACTGCAAGGCTGATCCAAATGATCCTTCTTCAGAAGAAAATGGTAATAATCAAACTTGTGTTGCCCGTGTGTTTATTTATTAGTGAAGTGATGATAGATCTACTGCCTCTTATATTTGGCTGGTTTTTGGTTGTTGCCATTTCTTGTTATTGCATTCCTCTTTGTCATTCTGATATACTCCCTCCATACTCATAAAGGAAGTCGTTTAGAACAGCGACACGGTCTCCAAAACACAACTTTGACTTCTTGTTTCTATAAAAATATTTATTGAAAAGTGATATATGTATACTTTTATGAAAGTATTTTTCAAGACAAATCTATTCATATAATTTTTACATTTTCAAACTCAACAACTTAAGAGTTATTTATGATTTATATTCCCAAGGTTTGACTTAAAAATTTGTCCTAAACGACTTCCTTTATGAGTACGGAGTGAGTATATCAGCTTTGAATATCAATAAAATATAAGAGGCCTCAAAAGGTTGACATACTGATGCACTTATTATATACTGTATCGTTTTAATTATTTTTTATGCTCGTAAAATGTATGCTTTTCAGACTTGCTGCAGTTGATAAGAAATTTGTCCTTTTCAGACCTACTGCAGTAGGTAATTGAGGCTGATGCATCTATTGTCCCCACATAACATGATCTTCACTTTGGTTCTTTTGCAGCTTGCTCCATAAATATCAGTGAGATCTTAACCGGAAAATGCTTGGCCAAAATAAAGGCAGGGAACCTTAACAAGCAAAGGGTGTCTAAGTTCCAAAGTACACCTTCCGAGGCACTGGGGGACATCACAGCTCTGTACTACGATGAAGAGCGTGAGGAGATATACACCGGCAACCGACTAGGCCTTGTCCATGTGTGGTCAAATTGATAGTTGCTCAGGCAGTCAAGCTTTCCTTCGGGCAACAGCAATCCTCACCTAGCGTGGCATAATCGGGGAGATACTAGCTACAACCGTAGTTCATCATCGGGGAGATACTAGCGTGCCTGATCGGTGTAGCTCCAAGGGTGTTTACTGTTTACCATATGTATCGTTTTGGAAGGTTTGTCACTGTTAGCGTGCCATCTTACCCCCCGAGCTATATATATCTGATTCCAATCTGAGATTCATTGTCTGTTCTGAATTCTGATGGCGAAGCGTACAACTTCGGGATCAGAGATGTCGTTTTGTGTTCTGAATTCTGATGGCGAAGCGTACAGATGGGCGATGCGTCAAAATGATGCATAAACAAGCGAAAGGTCATCAAATGATGCAGCTCCGGTTTTGCTGCTTTCTTGGAGCAAAGCGAGGCAACCAAGCACATTGCACATAACATTACGCGATTTTAACACGATCCAAACTTTAAATACTGGACAAGAGCATGTTTGACGCCTCGCATTATCGCATATAGCGGATGAAAAAACGTCAGGCCAGCCTGCGCGACAACGTCTAGTTACAGATAAGAGCAGAACTGCAAGTCAAATACACTCTTTTCTCTCCATAGTAGAGTTTGAGCAGCGAGCGGGCAAACATAAATTATTCAATTATTAAATGATATGATCACTCTTGATCATCTCAACACTATAGGAACAAAACTTCGCTACCGCGATTTTACTATTTTAGTTGTCCACAACTTCAATGAGGGTTGGTTCGTAGTCAGCAGGAGCCTCGAAACCATGGAAGTTCATTACGGTTGCAGCAACATTGGCGAGCCCAGGGGTCTGAATGTCAGACCGGAATTTCACACCAGGGTGAAGACCGGGACCTCCAATAGCAACCGGGACCTGCAAGTTTTATATAGGCATTAAAAACTCAAATCAACAACAACAAAAAAAAAGCACTCTACTTGGTATTACAGGGCGAATATGTAAGGTGCATCGCAGTAATCAACAAACACACAACATAAAACATAGCATTATATGAACATTTGCACGTACCGGCTGAAGAGTATGTGAGGTAAGAATCTGGATACCACCGTTCTTGTCGAGAAGTGGCTGGCCAGATTTGTTTCTTTTCACCATATCCTCAGCATTTCCATGATCAGCGGTGACAAGATAAATACCACCGACTTGTTCAATCGCGTCCAAAATAATCTGTTCCAGGAGGGGAGGGATTACCATTACGGTACATGACGACTTGCAGAAATAACTGTCTGCATATATTTTGTCTTGTTTGTGCTCACCTTAACGGCTTCGTCAGCTGCCTTGCAAGCAACTACCGTGGCTTCAATATCACCAGTGTGACCAACCATGTCACCATTCGGCAGGTTGACACGTACCTAAAAGAGTAATAAAAATTTTAAGCAACATTTTATATAGGCAAACAGTCATCTGAGCACCGACGAAACAATTACCTACCTGATCAAACTTTCCACTAAGAATGGCATCCCTGGCTTTCTCTGCAATTTCAAGTGCCTTCATGTTGGGTTTAACATTGAATGTGATTCCAATATCACTAGGAATTTCAACGTACTCTTCCTTAGTTTCATCAAAGTATCCAGATCGGTTTCCGTTCCAGAAAAATGTGACATGGCCAAACTTCACTGTCTCACTGTAAAAAAACAAATCAATGAGTTACAGCATAAATACAAATGGACTAAGACAGAATATTATTTTATATAAGCACAATAGACAACTATAAACTCCACAATTAAGGACCGAAATAGCATCATGGAAAGGTCTAATAGGCAACCAGAGGTAATTCCCTCAGTTCTTCTGCACCCAAGCAGTCGTTTTATATCAAATGAGTTGTTTTATTACTACAATTAAAGCAAAAAATACTATATCACTGCTAAACTTGGTACCAAAATTAGCACAGAAAGTAAAACTCAGTATAGAGGATTTGAATCAACTCCCTTATGGCCTAAGTACCTCAAAAATTACTAAGTCACCAGTCAATATTTTTAGTATCAGAGGAAAGAGAGTGGGAAGCCAGGTACTTGCCTGCAAGCGAAGGTGCGGACGCCATTCTTTACCAAGTATTCACCAGATGTTCTCTCTATCTCTGGTGGGGAGACAAGGTAATGGCTCGGAAGCTTCAACTCACCATCATACTGAAGCATCCCAGCGTACCGGATTTTTGGTACACGAACACGATCAAATTTGTCAAAGTCTGCATACTCTAGTGCTTTGGCAAGCATAACCATACGATCCGCTCGGAAATTGAAAGTCACAACTGCATCACCATCTACAACAGGCCCAACAGATTTGCCACTCTCATCCACGATCACAAATGGAGGCAAATACTGATCACTAGCCTTGGTCTCTGCTCTTAGAGTTTTCACTGCTTCGACTGCATTTTGGAATTTGTAGGGTGCTTCGCCAAGCACCTGGGCATCCCACCCACGTTTGACCACATCCCAGTCATTCTGTGCATTTTTAAGACTTAAACTTCAGCATGGATATAACATGTTATTAAATTCAGAAATAATGAAATCAAACAACTTAAAAATAGCGATCTGCACAGTTAAATATTAAAAGTTGATGGTTTAACTCGTATAACTAAATGAAGATTTTACCTCATAGCGGTCCATGGTAACATACATCCTTCCACCACCAGATGCAATCCGTGCATCAATACCCTTGTCACGAAGCTGAGAAAGATCACTCTCTAGTGTCTCTACAAAACCAACACTGCTGCCATCCAAAACATCGCGTCCATCAGTAAGAATGTGAACACGAATTCTTTTTGCTCCCCTCTCACTGGCACCTTTCAGAAGCAGCTGAAATAGAGTGAAACAGAACACACCAATTTAAAAATTGACAGTAAATAAACAACACATTGCAATATAAGGCGCCATTCATCAGAGCTTAACAAACCTGCACTTGATCAAGACGGGAGTGAACGCCTCCATCACTCAACAAACCAATAAGGTGCAGGGTACCCTTGTCAAAACATTCTTTGATGTAATTGAACCCCTCTCCATCATAAATTTTCCCAGAGGCAAGAGCAAGGTCCACAAGCTTAGCACTACAGTGAGAATGAAACACGCTTGTCACAAAACATGCAGAGTGATCCAACCTATAGTTCCCAAATGAATCAAAACTCAACAACAGCTTACCCCTGAGCAAAAATGCGACCAGCACCAAGAGCATTGTGACCCACTTCGCTGTTGCCCATGTCATCTTCGCTAGGAAGACCAACAGCTGTTCCATGAGCCTTCACTAATCTCCACCTCTCGGGAGCACCCTTTTAATGTACAAAAAAAATAGAGTTAACTGCTGAAACTAGAGTGCAGGCAAAGGCGTAAATTCATAGCACAAGGGCAACCCAACACAACATGGAATCATGGATGCAACTTCATTAAATATATGTCCAGGCTAAACCTACGACTTAATCATCTTAGCCAAACTGTCTGTTGTCAATGGGATAACCAAACAGTTACAAGCAGGATGCCTAATCTACAGAAAATAAAACAAGAAAAGCAATTTGCAATCACTAACAACATTAAAGGCAGAAAAAATTGCATGACCCCAAATCATAATCATGTGGCAAGGAAGCATACATTCTTGAGCGAATCCATGACGGGCGTCTGGGCGACATGGATGCAGTTGTACTTGTCGGCGTTGGCCTCGCCCCATCCGTCAAGCACGACGAGGGCTACCGTCTTCCCCTTGGGGAGCTTGGGGTGGTCGGGCAGCGTCCATGAGAAACCGGAGCTCGCCATCGCCTACTAGATGCTATACCTACCAAATCACACCAACGCAAAGCTCAGATACAACAGTTAGGTGCAGCAAATCCTCAGATCCGTACAGAAACTACACATAATTAAGTCAACTAATATCAGGGTTAGCAATCCGAACCAACTCGTGGCCTAATCGAGCATAATTAACACTAAGCAACGCTGTAAATCTCGCCAATTTTATCAGATTTCGAGCCTCAGATCAGATTCGCACAGGCGGATCTACCGATCGATCGGCGAACAACCGAACCACAAACAAGCTACCGCGCTCAAAACCAACGACGCATCCATCGATGAGGAAGATCAGAGAGGCCCTTACCTTCGCTTTGCCCTCGCGCTTTTGCCCACCGAGACGAAAGCCTTTCTTTTCTTTTTCGAGAGCGGAGTACGCGAGGAGGATGACGAAGTGGGCGGCGCGATATTAATAAGCAGCGCGACGGCGACGTGTAGGGTCCACGCGAATACCTTGTTTAGGATGGTCGCGTTACCATCGGACGGTCCTCTCGACGCCACGTGGAGAGAAATGGAGAGATCTGACGGCGCGGATAGGTGGCTCCGTCTGATTTGGTGGATCCAAAGTTCCAAACGGGGGACGGGATCCACCAATTTTGTTTTTTTTATTACTACGGCCGCTGCTGGTATTGGACGGCCGCGATGGCGGCGGCGGCGGTCACGTGGGAGCGACGAGACTCCATCGTGACCGTCCAGTCCGGTCCCAGTCCAATTCCGTCGCTGGGTTTGGATATTCCATCGAGATATTCCCAGCGGCGACGGGATTTTTCGCCGGGTTTCTCCAGATTTTCCAATGGGAAAAGCCCTCCTCGCCGAACGAATGCTCCTCTCCGGTGTTGTGTTGGCCGCGCCGCCACGGGCCCCGGCGTCCTGGGGGCTAAACCATTAGAGTTGGAATGTGCGATACGCCCGAAGGCGCTCTCGCTTTCTTCTCGCACATCGACATCTGTGTACTTTCTTCTCGCTCTCCATGAGACGGGTACTCCAGTGTTCATCACGGGCGGCACGGTGGCAGTCGGTCAGATTTGGCGCTTGGGCTCTGGCCAGCCTACCTTGCTACTACTTTGGGCCGGCCGGTACATCCTGGGCCTGGTAGGGAGCAATGTCGGCCATGCGGCCCATGTCTGGTTGGCTGGGATGGAAATAAGTTTACTTGTTGTCCTTATGCTTTACGTCGAGTATAATCGACATCCCTAACCCACAATACTACAAATCTTATGCGCCCTTTGGTTAAAAAACGAGGTGCAGGCTACTACGACGATGACGAGCGGGGATGGCAGTTGCTCCGAGGTGCAAACGACGACGGCGACGAGTGCTCGTCTGCTCGAAGGCAGAAGTGGCGGTGGGTGTTTGGGGGCTGCAAACACTCAGGCTCAGCGGCCGGTGCACTCGATGAGGAAAGGAGGGAAAGAAAGAGGTTGAGGAGGAGGAGGAGAGAATGAGGATGGCATGTTGGACCTACTTTTTTTAGCCACGTAATCACCTAGTCGGTACAAAGTGGACCGAATCAACTTGCTACGTCAGCCAAAACTATCAGCTATACCATCGGAACTCGGAAGATCTAATTTAAGCCGGTTTTGTGACTAAAGGTTTAAAATTTCTGGTATTGCGATTAAGGATGCCGATTAAACTTTGACGTATTCTGGCTGGGACGTGTTGCTGGACATATGGCCCATCTGTTCTAGCCCAACAAAACGTAGTGTAAACTATCGTTCTCGTCTTTTTACGATGTTACAAGCCATTTTTCTGGCGATCCCATCCCTCCAAAGACGAAGATGAACTAGGAGTACTTCATCCAGACGGCCAGACCTCGCAAGAACCTCTGATTTCTGTAAGCTGTCAACGGTGAGATGCTACTGATGATAACCAATTGGCAGACGCCTCACACGCAGTGACGCAAAAGACCCAGCTCGCAAGCACATGCAAAGAACAAAAGAAAGCAAGGGCGGCACACACACGACCTCATTTGCAGGCTGCATTGGATCTGGCACATTGCCACCTGGGATTTTTACCTAGCGGGGCTGACTCGCCCCGATACCTGGAACGCACCAAAGCAGCAGCAACTTTCTCTCCTTCCCTTCTCATAATAACTGAAATCTTCAGATAGGCGAGCGAAAAGACTGAAAAAAAACAGCGAGTTCGTTTCTCCAGGATGGCGATGTGCATGGCAAATGGTCCCCCGAGCTTAGCTAGACAAGGAGTCACGATCCTGACAGTCCACATGCAGATGCAAACAACACTGACTCATCAAGTGCGCTATTCCCATCTCCATCTTCCCCCATTCAGAGCTGGGGCTAATAAGGCTACTACAAGACGACGCAAACTCCCCATCCCTGGATGGATCGCGAACGATGGTTACGCGTTGAGATGATTAACATGGCACTGTAGCGTTAATGGATAAGATGACATTTCAAGAACCCAAGAATTGTATGGGGAAAAAATAACTGCCCATTGTTAATTCTTGATATTTCTCTTTTTTTTTTGTACATATATACATACACACCTGTAAAACATCTTTACAGAGGTCTTGGTCAAGTTGATTAGTACTACTGCCAAAAAAGCCATAGACAAGGCCGGATCTGGGACTTCATGTTAACCATGTATATAGAAAAAAAAATAAGATCATTTGTAGGAATCAAGAACACTCATGTATATTCATTAACCCCAAGAAATAGGGGCAAAAAAAATTCAGACAGAAAGAAACTAGCTACTAAATTTAAGTAAAAACTGAGAGGAGAGGTCTACGAGGACCAGCTCCTCAGGAGAGACGGCCTCCCGAACATCTGGTCGAGCGCCACCACGACGGCCATGGCGAGCGACACGCCGACGCCGGGCTGCACAACAAGCCGGAACACGTCAGTGCCGACCGCCTCCTTGGGCCGGACCTCCGCCACCGCCCGCCTCTCGCCGTCGTACACCACGCAGCACCGCCGCGCGTACGATCCCTCCACCTCGTACGCCGCCGACGCGCCGGCCGCGGCCGCGCCCGCGCACGGCGTCACGCGCGCCAGCGACTTGCCGCCGCCGCGGCCCGTCCGCCTGACCGCGTACACGGGCGGCCGCCGGCCGTCCGCCTCGCCGGCGAACACGAGCCACTGCTCCCCCTGCAGGCTGAGCTGCCTCTTCCTGCGGACGGTGAAGGCCGGGGCGCCGGCGGCGTCCATGAGGACGACCTCGTCGCCGCTCTCCGTGTCGTAGCTGTCGACGCGGTACGCCAGGTTCCCCTTGGCGTCGAACACCGTGAACCCCTTGCAGTTGAACAGCAGCGACTTCCGCCACACCGTCAGCGCCGCCGCCTCCTCCTCCTCCTCCCCCCGCCGCTCGCCGCCGGCCGGCCCTGCCGCCGCCGCCACGGGCACCACGTTAGGATGTACCTTCGCCATGCGCGCGCGCGCCCACAAATCAACCAAATCAATCAGGTGATTGCAGTCAGGCTAGCTAGCTAGGCGAAGCTAAGCTGATGAGCTCAGGAGGCTAGCTAGGTGTTTGTGTTTGGGATTTGACAAGTGAAGTAGCTGGAGGTAGGAGAGATATATATACACACACACCTTCTGAATTGTGATAAGCAAAAAGAGAGGGGCTGTACACTTGTACACCTAGGAAGAAAAGAGGCGAGAAATTGAATTAATTAAAACCAAGGAAGCAAATGCATGTTGCTCTGACATGTGTGGGGGCAGGGGGTGACATGGGATGCTACTTAACGACCCTCCCCTGCCTGGCTGGCTTCTAATCAATTCCATCACGTACATATACTACGCTTCAGCTCAAAGAAACCCATATAGCAACGTTACATGCACGCTAATTATGGGCTCGTTCGGATTATACCTAGATAGAAAAAAAGTAAAATATACTGCCGGTCCTTAAAGTTGAACGCGGGTGTTATTTAGGTCCATAATCTTGTAAATTGCTACCTCCTCCTCCGCTCCGCCGACGGCCGCCCAAGCAACTTCCGCCTCTGCCGCCGCCGTCAGCGCCAGAGCGTCGTCCTCGTCGTCGTCCTCCACTCCTCCATCGCCATTCTCAATGCCGTCGTGCTGGTGAGCTGGTGAGGGGCGGCGCGGCAGCAGGATTCCGACGTTGCCGTGACGCCGCCGTTCGCCGCACGCCCCCATGCGCTCGCCCACCGCTGCTCTACCCGCCGCCGCCCTCAGCCATGGTGCGCGATGAGGAGGGGGTGGCCAGTGGCGAGCGCGCGCGGAGAAGGAGGATTTGGGGATTTTTGTGTTGTTCATGGCGCTACTGTTGCGGAGGGGCTTATTTGCAAAATTGGTGCTTGTGTGGCATGCCACGTCTGCGGTCAGAGCCGGTCAAGTGAGGTTTGGACCTCAACGAGTCACTTAAACAAGATGGTATGTCTAGATGTGCAATTTACAAGATTATGGATGTAAGTGACACCCACGCTCAACTTTAAGGACCGGCCATGTATTTTACTTAAAAAATATATGATATAAAATGTATATGAATAGAAAAGGAATTTAAGCGTAAAGTAGAAGAATGAAAAACAAAGAAATACCAAAGTTGAGGTATTTGGATCACATGAAGTTGATCGACTAGTATTTGCATGCAGGAAGCAAAAACTAAAAAAGAGCTTGAGTTGATGGATTTTTCCTATACTTCTGCTGTGAAATCAGCACCGGAGGAAATTTTCCTTTGAATTTTCTACAAATAATTTTCATGATCCGGACGATAGGAAAGGAAAAAAAATCATATGAACAACATTAATATTCCTCCAAAAATCATGTGAAGATCCTCTAATCCAAATATATGTTCGGAAGCAGGGGTTAAAAACCTCTCCTATATGCAAGAAAAAAGAGGAATGGTTTATTAGTATATGATTAATTAAATGTTAGCTAAAAGACTTTAAAATATATTAATATGTCTGTAGAGCAACTTTTATGTTTTTTTTTGCACCGTTTAGTAGTCTGGGAAGCGTATACCCGAAAAAAGAGGAAGTAGAAGATAAGAATATGTAGATTCAAACTCACGCTAAAGTAAATTTTATAAAACTCTGATATTGTGACTCGAGTTACACAAAATCACAGTTGTTTTAGCATGTGGCATAGGTATTATGATTTTAGAGTTTCACAAAACTATACTGCTTACCAATTATAATGTGATCCACTGCATACGAAAGTTCTAAAATCAAATCTCAAATTTACAAAATCTTTGATCTCCAAGCATACATGCTTTAGCTATCCAAGTAATAAATCATTTCTTATTTTTTGGTAAGGTAGTAAGCCAAATTGGTCAATGGCATGGTTTTGCAAAGCTATGTTACCGTCAATGATGTGCCATATGTTAAAGTCGTTGTGATTTTGTGTAACTTAGATAATATAATATCGGTGGTTTTATATATGGAGCATTACCACTCTGCATATCAAGCAGGATAGCTCTATGTCATACGTAATGCAGTATACCGTTCAATCCACCGATCATGTATATATCCACAGATTACAAACCAAAACGTTTTGTGCGTGCTACACATGTGTGATCGACGAGACCGAACATATACCTGTTTATTTAGCGTTTTTTTGTTGGGTTTATCTCCTTGGGCGATAAGGCGGGCTACGCATCAAACGTAGACGCATTACCGGTCCGGGATTAAGACCCTAATAATTCTCGCTATTTATGTTATCCATGCATACGTAACGCACCGCCGTAGAAATATGAACGGGTGGGGCCCGGATCTGTGACACGCGGCGAGACGCGAGGCTTTGGGTGGGTAGATTTTGAGTAGAAGCAGAGCCTTGAAGGGTAAGGTCGGCGAAAGATTATTAAGATTATTGCAGATTGAAGGAGTTCTATTGGTGCAGAGCTAAGCAGCACGATGATTAGTGGGGTGAACTGATCACATATGGAACGCGTGTGAATGTGTGATTGATGATGGATAAATTAGGTCATGTTAATTATCTTTGGTGATTAATTAACTGGTGGACTAGACACAAATCGATTGGTTGAGGATGAGCCAGCCTCTGCTATAGCTAGCTAGCTAGCTATACAATTCTTTTGTTTGCATTCGAGACGACGTTGATCATTTCAGTTGTTTGATTGTAGACCGGGTTTTGGGAGTTGACTGTGCACGTCGTATTTGTTCTTGATTTTTCTTTCATGTGGAGGGGGGCAAAAAAGTCAGAGTTTGAGACTGACTAGTACGGTGTAGTAAATCAGAGCCATCTGTATGTCCTTCATTGGCTGCCTTGGTCTCCTCAAACTAAACTAATATAGAGATTTAGAGCAATCATACAATAACTACTAGTATAGCCCTCCAATTTATCTGTAGCCAATCTAATAGCCAATTCATACAATAACTATTTACTATATTATTAGTATATGGTCTCACCTGTCATACACATACTATGTCTTGGAGTCCGTGCTGCAGCTGACTACAGATTTGTAGCCCGCTGCTCTTCTCTCTCATCTTTTATCTTATTAAAATATATTTATAGCCAGCTAATAGTCTACTATTGTACATGCTATTAGGATCACTATTAATTGTACGTTCGTAATTTAGCCAATCATTAGAAATTCCTGGCATTTGAGTATTAGCGATAATAGCTGCAGATATAGTGCCATAAATAAATAAACTAACAAGCTGGTGTGAGCTTACGTGAGCACGGCCATGTTCAGCACAAAAAATGGAGTTGAGCGCAACTAAGAAGATTATATATGTTAATATTTCGACTCAACATATTTAAGAAGGTTAACGTGTGATATGAATCTTTAGGGCTCTGATTGTTTCTCTACGGCTGAAGAGATGTGGAAAATTAGACTAAACAACCCGCAAAAAATATATACGGGCAAAACAAATCCATCTTTTTAGCAGTTTAAAAACAAAATTTTAAAAATAAACAACGACAAAAAATTCATCACATTTACTTTAAATTAAGTGTTAAAATTTTAATTTAAAGTTAAGTTGAATAAGACAACAAGTACTCCCTCCGTCCCAAAAAAAAAAGACAAACGCTGGTTTCCGTGTCCAATGTTTGACCGTCCGTCTTATTTAGAAAAAAATATGAAAAAAATTAAAAAGACAAGTCACGCATAAAATATTAATCATGTTTTATCATCTAACAATAATAAAAATACGAATTATAAAAAAAAATTTCATATAAGACGGACAGTCAAAGTTGGACACGGAAACCCAGGGTTTGTCTTTTTTTGGACGGAGGGAGTATACGAGAGCGGGTTTATACTTGCAATTCACCCCAGGCACCAAGACACCTAGGGTTTTTAATTAGCCAATACAAACCTTGCCAAGAAAATAGAAAGGTAAAGTTTTGGTCATTAATTTTGGTAAGTGTGGGTATTTTAGTTTGTGGCCATAATTTGAGAAACTACGTATACTGATTGACTTCATCAAATTGTTCGCAACATTACTTTGCCATTTTCTTGTGTGATTTGTCCTAGCTGTAACCAATCAAGTGTGCACCCACGCTTGTGTGCAGTCGATTTTGATACACGTTAGCTAAGCTTGTATTACTAATACGAAGTTTATTCTTCTTTTCTATGCTACCTAATTTCTGTAGATAATACAAACAGTGTACATCTCCGGGTTTTATCACTAGGCCACACAGTCAGTTAATCTGGTCTGAAGATTTTTTTTTGAACGACTTGTACGAGACGGTGCGAAGTTCTATTGATAGAGTAGGAAAATATTACAAGATTACAATTCTGGAGGGTCGTAACCAGGAAAAAAAAATATACCACCACCCACACACCGACAGTGCCAACACACAAGCCCGGGAGAAGGCTAGCACCGGACCGGCTGCCGCTAAGCGTGACCGACCGCTGCTAGACCAACAATCCACCACCACTCAACCTCTGCCGCCATGTGGGATCACTGCACCGGCGCCCCCCCGCCGGCCAGCCTTCGAGCGACAAAGACCACCCACATCCACTGGCAGCTCCTCCCTCGCGCCGAGGTCGCCTCCTCCACCGCCGGCCGTGCCTCTCGCGCCAAGCCGGCCTCCATCTCCGCCGCTCGCGCCCCTCACGCCGAGCCGGCCTCTGCTGCCATCGGTTGTGCCTCTCTACGCCAAGCCGGCCTCCAACCCCTCCTCCAAACACTGCCGCGCCGGCCGGATGCGGCCGTCTGCCACGCCCCCGGCTAGCCACCCGAGATTGCCATGCCTCCCCCTACCGTGGTGACGGTCGCCACCACCGCAGCCACTGCTGCCCTTCCATTCCGCCGCCATCTCACCATCCTCTCGCCCTTTCTCGCCGTCGTCGAGCTCCGATGGCACACGGCGCAGACTGCCCATCGTGGTAGCCCGCGCCGCCGTCGCCGCGAACTCGTCACCACCATCGCCGCGACCACCAGACTCCTCCGGCGCTGGATCCGCCGCCGTCGCGGCCAGGTTCACCTCACCGACGCCATCCCCTTGCCACCTCCGCCGCCACCACAATAGCCGTTGTTGCCCTTCCATCCCCGCCGCCATCTCGTCATCCTCCCACACCTTGTCGCCGTCGTCGAGCTCCGACGACACACGGCGCAGACGGCCCGCCGTGGTAGCCCGCGCCGCTGTCGCCGCGAACTCGTCGCCACCACCGTCGCGACCGCCAGACCTCCAGGCGCTGGATCCGCCGCCGGCGCGGCCAGGTTCACCTCACCGACGCCATCCCCTCGCCGCCCTTGCCGCCGTCACTATCCTCGCCGCCGGCCGC